AACTTTCTAAACACCGCTATAAATTTTTAATAAATTAACTGAGAAATGAGTTACTAGCCTTGGCTTTTGTCACTTAAACTTCTGCATAAGTAGTGAATTTGGAGTGAAAGCGACATGAGAATCTTTCAGAAACAAAAATGTGTACAATTACAAGGGGTATTAGATTTCAGTAGAGTTGCACTTACATCTAGATGTAAGCATTCCTTATTTATAAAACTCTCTTCTGCAGTAACGGAGTCCAAAGAGCGTTAGGAATAACTCTGCTCTGTTTTAGCCTGTGTTATACGGTATGTTAGCATTTTAACATTCACATTGTAACTAAACGTGTTAGAACGGAAGACTGAAGTCACAAAATTTGCATTTGTGAAAAGCATAAAAGATCAACTTCACAATATTATAATTGCACAGGATCAAACAATGGTTAATGTTAAGTAGCTACAAATCAATCGGGTGCATTTTAAATTACTATCTGTAACAGGTCCACAATTGTGTTTTGGATGATTAGTTATTTCTTATCTGAGTTATTATTAGACAGCTAAACAATATACTATTAACTTTTTCATATTACCCTGTTTCAAAGACTTGTTGCTCTGTCATTTATGTTGCTTTACTTTTCACTTAATAAAAATCTCTGGGTAAAACTCTGGTTGCTTAATTAAAAATAATCTGGTCGATTGTTTTGCATTTGAAGGCTTGAGCTTTTGTGCCGTCTACTGGACAATGAAAAAACTACAACCATAATGTACTCAAACTTTCTTTTGGATAAAAGTACATTTTCGGAGAGGGTGGTAAATCTATTGGGAGGAGCGTGGCGTCAAAATTGAAGACGAGGGAAAGAAAAGTGGCCCTGAATAGAAGATTTATAGGTTGTTACATTTTTTCTATATAAAAACTTTTATACTCCAGTTTTAACTGCTCGAGATTTTATTGTTTCATGAAGTACACTCAATCATTTGCATTAAGGGTGACATCAGAAAGACTGTTTGAATGTATATGTGTGAGACGGCCTTAGAGATTTAGTTACAAGTGATAGAAAAAACGTGGATAAATATTGGTAGATCGCTTCACTCCTAGAACTATTATAAATTAAAATTGTAGTTTAGCCCAGTATAAAATAAATACTTTAATTTCTAAGCAACACCGAGCTCCACAGACTAATACCAAAGGAGAGCAAATTACATTTTAAAAAATCATTAAAATTATGTGTGTGTGTCG